GAGTGGGGTTGGGTGGGGCCGGGTGGTGCAAGAGCTCGCGAACGCAAGTTGCAAGATTTGCTGCATGTCTTGGCTTTCAGCAATTGTGTGCATTTTCGGCCGTAATCTCTTTTTCAGCCGAAGCCCCAGATGAAACCAATTGAACCCTTGCAGGTTTCTTCTTGAGACTGGCCGAGGTCATGGATTTTTCGTTTGGTGAGAAGGCCTGGCGACTGAGAGAGCCAACGTTTTTCATGTCCGGCCATAAAGCCGTCAGCTGCACCTGTTGGCATCAGAGCAAGATGTTTCTTGGCGTGTGCGAGAGGTCGTCACTACTTTGAGTGGCGAAGCTGGCAGTGAAGCTGGCCGCGCTTCATCCAGCCAAAATGGGCGCTTCAAGGCAGACCCCCGGCCCGTCCCTAAAGACCACGGACGGAGGTCTACTGCCTGTAGGTCTCTCAAAACTGCTTCGTGCATGAGAGCCCTGGCCTGGACGAGTTGAAGGTTGCCGAGGTCGGGGCCTCAGCTTCGCCCTTTCTTGGTTGCTTGATGCGAATTTTTCTGCAAGTGTCACCAGGCATCCGCCTAAGCCTTTCTGGGGCTTCTGTGTTTTCCCTCTTATGCGCGGGTGTGATGCGTGTTGGAAGGCCTCGTGGTCTCTGGACAGGTGGNNGTGGTGCAGGAGACAGGATGGCTCTGTCCAAGCCTTGTTGCTGTTCCTGTTGCGCTCTTGCCACTGACGACATTCCTGCGAGGCCTGGATCAGAAAAGCCGCGCATTCGCAAATGCCTGGACCACACTTTTGGCCGGCATTGCCATGATAAGTTTCGAGCACAAAACCGTTGATGCCATACCTGCATATTCAGATGCCCGAGCATGCCAAGGGTGCATACATGCTCATTGATGGCAGCAAGCAAGGGTGGCTTGTCCGCAAGCGGCAGAGTTTGACGTCGTGATGACCACGGTTGACCAGGGCACAATCAGTTGAGACAAAACCCGTTGAGGTGTTGTGACTGCACGTTCTGTATTTGAGCTCATGCTTAACTGACAGATGCACGAGGCCACGGGAGCAACGTGTAACATGTCGATATCCCTCCGGAATGTAGCGCATGTAGCTTGACGGCGACAAGGACGTCGGGAGAGGCATCAGGGGGTTTAGGGTTTAGAGTTTAGGGCAGGCTATGCTGGCTCTATGGGATCCTTGGGAGCTCGGAGATGATTGGGTTCTGACAAAGAGAGTTTAGAGTCTAGCGTTGACTTGAAAGCCGGACGCACTTTCAGTTTCATGTGCGAACTGCCGTAGATAAAGAGTACAAATGCCAAGAATAGCGGGGCACTGGAGAAACCGAGGGATTTTCCGTGCAAGTAATCGCTTTTGGAGAGTTTTGGTTTGTGCAGGGACGCCCCAGGCACTTTCTTACGAAAGGCTTATCCTAAGGCGCTCCAGTTTCATGATGTTTCTGTTTTTGCTTCATGGATTTGGGGTTTGGGCTGGAAAGTGCTCAGAGCTACTCGCATGATCGGTGAGAGGAGGCACGGCATCACTGATTTCCCCTGAGGATGCAGGGTTCTTGGGGCCCAGTCAGGTCCCGGAGCCGAGAGTCGTAAACATTGCAGCCTTGCCCACAAACCACCAAAACTTTCAACCTCCTCCACAGCAACCCCCCTCCCCCCCCCCTCCCTCCCCCCCCTCAACACGCACGCCGCAACTTGAAAAAGCATTCATTTTATTTCTACTGGTGGTAATACTTCTGCTACTACTACTTACTACTTACGAGGGGTTGGGCATGCATTGGAACCTCATTGGAACCTCATTAAATATTATTGAAATACAATAGAATACTCAGTGAAGCCGCATAGAGCCGAGTGGCGCCGAGTGGGGCCGGGTGGGGCTGAGGAGGGGTTGGGCGTGCATTGGAACCTCATTAAAAATACTACAGAATACTCAGTGAAGCCGAATAGAGCCGAGTGGCGCCGGATGGGGCCGAGCGGGGCCGGGTGGGGTTGGGTGGGGCCGGGTGGGGCTGAGGAGGGGTTGGGCATGCATTGGAACCTCATTAGATACTATTGAAATACTTTTGAATACTCAGTGAAGCCGAATAGAGCCGAGTGGGTGGGGCCGAGTGGGGCCGGGTGGGGTTGGGTGGGGCATGCATTGGAACCTCATGACATACTATTGCAATACGAAAGAGTACTCAGTGAAGCCGAATAGAGCCGAGTTGCGCCGAGTAATTAGGGCCGGGTGGGGCCAAGTGGGGCCGGGTGGGGTTGGGTGGGGCCGGATGGGGCTGAGGGGTTGGGCATGCGAGAATACTCAGTGAAGCCGAATAGATCCGAGTCAGGCCGAGTGGGGCGGGGTGGGGTTGGGTAGGGCTGAGGAGGGGTTGGGCATGCAGCAGTGAAGCCGAATAGAGCCGTGGGGCCGAGTGGGGTTGGGTGAGGCCGGGTGGGGCTGAGGAGGGGTTGGGCATGCGTTGGAACCTCATTAAATACTATGGACATAATATAGAAGACGCAGTGAAGCTGAGTGGCGCCGAGTAGGGCCGAGTGGGCCGGGTGGGGTTGGGTGGGGCCGGGTGGGGCTTGAGGAGGGGTTGGGCATGCATTGGAAGCTCATTAAATACTATTGAAATACTATAGAATACCCGAGTGGGGCCGAATGGGGACGAGTGGGGCCGAGTGTAGAATACTCAATAAGTTGGGCAGAGCCAAGTGGGGTTGGGTGGGGCCGAGTGGAGCTGAGGAGGGGTTGGGCATGCATGGCCGAGTGGGGCCGGGTGTGGCATGCATCGGAACCTCATAAAATACTGTAGAATACTCAATACTGCGACCGTGTAGGACTCAATGTAGGACCGAATGTTGCCCGGTGGGGCCGGGTCTGGCCGGGCATTGCAACAGCAATTCTAACTTCTGGGCGCCCCAGCAGAGGTCGGCGGATAACTCTATTGTTCTGCTGTTGGGATTTCATGCCGGTTCCTAGGTCACCCGCTTGAAAGAGCAGATGGCCGAGCGGCGCAGCGAGCTGCGGCTCGCCGGGGGTAGCGAGGAAGGCGACAAGCGACTCCAGGAGGGGCAGCACCGCAGCACCAAGCTGCTGACCAAGCTCTTAGTTACGACGCTAGGAAACTTAGGGTAGTTGCTTTCACTTTTCAATGTTTTTGGAAACTGTGGTGTCCCAGTCCTATTGCAGCATCGTGAGCCTCCTCTCCCTTCGTTATCTCTTTGTCGCCTCGAGTCCATTGCAAATATTACTGTTGCTGTCGTCGTTTGTCGTCGCCGTCCGCTTGCTGTTGTGATTGTTGACGTTGGTGGCGTCGACATCGCCATTATTGATGCTGTTGTTGGTGTTGTGTTTGGCTTCGTCTGTGACGTTGTTGTCGTGATTTCGTTTGTCCGTCTTCTGCTGAATGTTGGTAGTGGCATCCACTCCTTGCTGTGTGTTCTTGCAACTATTGGTCCGGTCTTAGGAAGCAGTTCTGAGACTGGCAGGAGCTGGGCACGTCTCTGACCACCGCCCAGCAGGCGACCTTCGTAGCGTCTGGCATCTTCTACCGTCAGGTTGGCTGTGCGTCGGGTTAGTACAACCAGCATCACCGCGCACGTTTCCTGTAAATTTGCCAAGAAAGCGTGTGCGCTCACATTCACGTCCCTCCAGGTGACCACAGGCATCTGGACAGGGCGCACACCGGCGCTGCAACAGAAGATGACGCTTCGTGATCAGCTCACAAAAGAGATAGCCTTCTTGGAGTCGGCAGGGACTGCCTGACACGGGAGGTGTTTCGATCTTTCAGTGTTTGCCTTTCGAGGAAGGCCGTTTTTGCGCGGCATAGGCTTGCCAGACAGAGAGCACCATGTCCAGGAGAAGTGGCTTGTCGAAAGCAGCGGACACTTCCTTTGCGAACCCGGCTTCAGCTCTTGCCCAGCTGGGCTAGGGTTTTGAAGTGCGTAGACTCAGACAGTACAGCACGGCTGGTGAGGAGGGAAGCGGAAGGGCGGCCGTGTGTCAGGATCGGCCTCAAGAAGCGATGAATTTTCGCATCACAACGCCCTAGGGGCAGTTTGCTCAGCCTGAGCTTTGCGCTTGGCAAGTTCCAGTAGATCGTGTGCTCTCTCAAAGGGAGCATCCAAGGCTGAGGCTTTCGGCGTGCAGGGAGGTACAGAGACCGCACTCGGAAAAGAAGAGAATGGGGCGGGGGCGACTACGATTCGAAGGATTGCAGGAAACCGCTGCGCTTGGTGCGCTTGTGATTGCGCTGCGGAGGCGGCCGAGCAAGCCGGCAGCTGGCCCGGAGGCCTCCCGCGAAACTTCGGAATGTGTGGCTGGCTATCTGAAGACGGCCTGAGCAGAACAGAGCGGCAAGCCGAACAAGACGAGTTAGCTGGGCTGCAGATTGCACCTAGCCATGCATTGCAAAGGGCCAAAAAGTCGGAAAGAACTCTAACAGAAAGAGCGAAACACTTTTTTTCGTAGAGAGCTGATACTTGAGCGGCCGCCTTGTTACTGCAGGCGGAGGCGATCGCGACCGCTCCGCCGGGGCAGGGCCCCCGAGAAGAGGGGGCGGGTCTCTACGCTTTAGGACCCCCGACCTTCGGTGAGAGGTGGTGTCTCGTTTTTTTGCGTTCGACCCGCAAAGAGAGAACCTTCCGCCACGGGCTCAAGTCCCTCTAGCGAACTAGCGAACCGTTTGGTTTTCATATGGGCTGGGCTGCCGAGCACCCCAATGGCACCAGCCTCGCGACTTGCTCTTGCACATGTTGTGCGGCTTTTGATTCTGCGCTCAGCTCACTGCCTCATGCGGCCGGAGACCGAAGCCTTGCTCCAGACCCAGCAAGGACGAGAGACGAATGTGGACACACCCTGCACATCCTATGGTCCAGGTCTGCATTTGGTTCAAATGCCCGAGCTTCAGCGCCAGTTCCTGCTATCCGTGCCTGAAGACTTTGCACCAGGCAGTGTCCCTCTGGTCCTAGCATTTCACGGCTTCTCAGACTCGCCGTGGTATACAGACGTTATGATGGGCCTCTCCAAGAAGCTGACGAGATATGGTTGGTTAGGCATCTTGCCTTTCGGTATGAATACATCTCGCAGCAACGGCATGAGCGGCGTGGGAGCCTGTTGTCCTCCCGAGTGTCAAGGCGAGTGCTGCATGCAAGGCAAACACCTTAATCAAAAAGATGACTCTGCCTGCGGCTGGCGGGACATGCAGCAAGATTTAGGTTTTGTGCAGGCTCTCTTAGCGTGGGCGCAACTGAATACCTGTGCAGACATGAACAAGGTTTTCGCCACTGGCTTCAGCAATGGAGGGCAGTTTACCAACTACCTCGCTTGCCATGCCTCGGATCTGTTCAGGGCTTTCGCCCCTGTCTCAGGGGACCTGGTCGACTTCACGTGCGAGGCAAAGCGCCCCATCTCCTACATCAGTCCCTCAGCAGAGCAATAGCATCTTCCTCGGGCCTGCGTTCAGCCTTGAGATGTAGCTTTCGACTGTGATGGTAAAAGTTGTTTGCTCTGTGTCCCTGTTTAACTGATGAGAGGCATGTGCGGCTCTTCGGATGATGAGGCCTTCTGCCAGCCGACCTTCGTAGGCACGGCAGCCAGCTGGAGCTCTCGCAGCCGATGTGAGGGTGCAGGTATAGAGGGTGCAAGAGTCTTCAACTTCTCTGCCACGACCTCTTGCTTGATGTGGGAGTCCTGCGAAGAGCAGAACTTCGTCGAGGTTTGCTCCACACAGGGCCTCGGCCACGATGCCAGCGGGCACTTAAGGCCCGATGGCACCAGCATCCTCCGCCCCGAAAGCGATCTCGACATCGTTGGCTACACTTTGCAGAAGTTCTCCATGCTCGTCGATGGTAGCATCCTCTTCTGGGGCCACCCGACAGCCGAGGAGTTAGCCTACAAAGAGTCCGCCTGGCCGCCCCCGACGCATGACGATCACGTCGACATCCGCAATGGCTCCCTGAACACCGCTTAATGCTGTCCAGTGCCTCGCGGCCCGGCACAGTCCCCCCAGAGCGATCTGGGCAGAATGAGACGAATGCAAAAAAAAGAGGCATGTTGTCAAATTTTAGCAGTGGCCCAGCTTCAGGTTACAGGATTCAACTTCAACCACGCAAGTAGGCGAGAAAGAGAATCGGCGGAGAGTCGGCTCCTTCCCAACTGCTGCAAGCCGAGGCCAAGCGAGCTGAAGGTACCGGAGACTGGTCCAACTGGTCCAGGCCCGCCACGGCATCCTTGTCTGCCTTCTCGCCTATGTCCTCATCACAGAAACACTGGCGAACAGCAAGAAGTCGCGGGAGTAGCAAGAACTCAAACTAGGAGAGCAGCAACCTGAAGCCGGGATCAGATTTGAGCATCTAAAACACCACTCTGGACATTCGAGGCGACAGCGCGCCGTCTCCGCCGCACCCCGAGCCTCAGGGATGGTTTTCTTCACTTGTTCCTTGAGCGGACGGAACCGAACCAAGCCTCATCCTGTCCAAGGTTCGAGTGCACGTTTGGTACACATGGTGCGAGGCGCTCAGACCGTGACAGTGCTGTTTCAAGACGTGTGACTATAGGCCGAGGGCTGGAACTGATTAGACATACCTTGTCTTGAAGCACGATGCCTCCAGATCCTTCGGGTCGGCTCCAGATCCTTGCGTGTGAGGTCACCCAGCTCAGTCCTTGTCCGGGCAAGAAGTCCCTTGCCGACATGGAGGTGCCTGCCTTTTCTCGGTCATGCACAGTCATCGTGGTTGTTCCGCCGGATGTCCTTGCTTTGCGTGGTGGCGTTGCACAGGAGACGCTGCGTCTCTGTCTCAGTCGTCACAATGCAGCATGTCCAGATCCTGCTGAAGCTCGAAGTGGCCCAGTCCCTGACACGATTTGCTTCACCAGGTCCTGTCAACCGCCCTGAAAGTTGCGCTAAGTGTGTGACCTCTTCCAAATCCGCTCTGACACCCTTCCTCCATCGAGAAGCCCCAGCACAAGCTTGTTCTCGGACACACACATGCGCATTCAGGAACTGGCCATTTCACTGTGATCAAAGGTCCATCCAGCAGGGGACCTAGTGCACCAGTCAGGCTACCACTCTGGATGGTCACAGCAGTACTTTGATTGTTGCATCAGGAATGAAACGATCTTGTTACGGGCTTTAGTTGGAGAGTCGCACGGACCTTCGCTTCCTGAGTGCTCCTTGCGCTTTCGAGGTGGCCGGCGTTGGATCCGTGGAGAATCCATCGGTCGTGGCTCTTTAGGCTGGGCACTACAACAGAACTTGAAGGGATTGATGTAAGAGCTTGTTCTGAGTCCAGGTCATCATAGCATTAACCTCAAGGACCCAAAAGTGTGAATGGTAGTAGGCTCCCAAAGGTTCGCCAGCAGTTCCCATCGGGCGGATCCCCGCCACGTCAGGCACCGTGTACCAAGCGATGGACCAGCAAACCGGCGAGCTCCTCGCGGTAAAGGAGGCACAGGAAGAATAGAGAACGTGCGACTTCGTAAATAGCGTCATCATACATGGTGTTCCTTGCTTTGTTCGGGTTTCATACAGACAGTTGCGTGAGAAGCGATGATGTCACGCATTGCAACCTGCAGGTGGTCATCAACGCTTCCGATTCCGCTGACATGAAATTCAAGGACCAGCTCGAGAACGAGATCCAAATCGTCAAGGACCAGCCTGATTGTCGCCTTCGGCAAGACCCTCCGCCTTGGTCAAGGGGCTGCGGAATCCATGCCTCAGAGGGCTTGCAAGCAGATTCCCTGTTCGAAATTGGAAGATGGAAAACCGGCTGTCTCACGGAACCAGAAGGAGGACAGAACTGCTTGAAGTAAATTCTGTTGCAGGCGGAGGTTGCTCTTTGCACCGAGAAATGTAATCGCGTACACCCCTCCACCATGGCCGCAGCTGAAAACATGCATTCGTGGACCTTCCGACTGCGGACAGGCTCGTGGCAAAGAGGAGCCACTTTCTTATAAGCTCTGCCCTTCCAAATGGAGCTCCGCGGCCGTCTTCGTAAAGCGATAGGATCAGAACGTGCCGTGCTCCATACTACTTGGAGTGGCAGACTGGAGCTTTTGTGTCTCTTTGACAAGAATGAAGGCTTCACGAAGGCCTTTCTTGGTTTGTGCAGAAGCAGACTCTCATCTCTCGGCTGCAGGAGCTGAAACATCCCCGAATAGTCGCTTACCTCGGCCATGATTATATGGCCTGGCGCCCAAATAATACCGACGAAAACCATCTGTGAAAGCATGCCTCGACACAGCTCAGCAGCGGCACCTTGCCTGGATTCCCGTGCTTAAATTCCCGTCAGTGTCGAGTGCCTAGGGTGACTCCCTGTTCATCTACTTGGAGTTCATGGCAGGCCGGGGCTTCGAATTTCTACAGCAACGCATTCCACAAACTCACGCAGAGCAGTCCAAAGCAAGTGTTCGCTGTTAGGACTATTCACGGAAGCTAGCGTAGCGAGGCTCTCGTTTGTATCTGCAGCGGGGCGGGACCGCCCCGCCCAGACGCAAACGAGTTGATATATCGAGCAAAACCCCTCCCCTCCCCCCTCCTCGCTGAGGTTGTTGATGTGGTTGGATGTGCCGGAGGTGATAATGCCATATCTGTTTCCCCCACCTTGCTGATGGAGCCCGCCTCGCCAGCTTTGTTTCCCCTCCGGTACTGATCGCCCGCGTCGTGAGCTCTGTTTGCTTTCCGCTGCTGATGTGGTTGGATGTGATGATGCTTGGAGCCCGCCTAGCCAGCTCTTCACGCTTGCAGTCCCTCAAGTTTGGTTCGTCACATTTGGGCGCCGGGCTGGGCAGGTGGCTCCTTGGCGCAAGCTCTGCGGCAGCTCTTGGCTCAGATTTCACGAGAACCCGGCGGGAACCCCCCTGCCTCTGTCGCTGCGAGCATCCAGAGCTTCAAATCATTGAGGTTCGGCTGCTTCGAAGAATCCTTGCTGCTGGCCCGAGAACTCAGAGGGCCTGGAGTTTTCAGCAGATCCTCGAGACATCTGCTGGTACCTGTCCTTGATGAGGGCCTCAATGCTCCCAGGCTTACACGAGGGAGATGTTGGAAGGGCCAGAAACTCAGAGCCATTCGGCTCCGGCACGGATTGGAGCGGCGGCTGCTGCTACAGCTACATGTACACCGGCAGTGCAGTCGTCAACAGCTGGACTCCTTGTGACATACTTACTTGATGCAACGGGGTCGATATTTTGAGAGCCAGGTACATTTCTGCTTTGCCGTGCTCTTTCCTCTTCAGGTTGGAATATCTGCACACCAGGGAGACTCCTGTCGTGCATCGCGACATCAAAGGCCAGCCTAAATTAGACTTTCCTCGTAGCTGCTCTTGTTGTTACGGGATAGGAGCCTCAAAGCAACTCTGCGGTAAGGTCCCCTTCGAAGCTCAATCTGTGAACTGCGCAGCACCCACATCATCAAAGCTCAACAAATGCGGACGGACGCACACAACTTGCTCTCGTGAGCTCTCCGATAGGCATTGCCGTGGTAGTTCTGGGATGTGCTGTCGGATGTCGTTCGACAGAACGGTATTTGTAAGTTAGGCATGCAGGAAAGCAGACGATGCAGAAGCATGTTGTGATCCTGACTGTCAATGAACATCGCTCTGCACTTCCAAAGGGCATATGCAGACAGTCTACCTGAGTCTACCTATCCGGTGTCTATCTATCGGTGTTCATCTCCTCTCCATCCTCTCCTCTCCATGCCTGTCTGTGTATATATCTGCATGTCCTTGCATGCATGCATGCATGCATGCATGCATGCATGCATGTATCCGTAGCTGAGCAACCACGCAGCCAGGGGGTCAGCAGGTAATTAGTACCATGAGCAACACTTAATGTAAGTGTCAAGAAAGAGTACTGGTAGCATATAATGCAACATACTGTACAGGCATATACGCGTTAAGTTGACTTGCTTTTTCTGTGGTTATGCAGTTGCACCCATACACAGAATGATATACCTCTGTATTGAGAATGTAGGTCTCAATTTACATACATGACTGTGTAGCTAGAGGTGAGGTGTGTGTGTCGATGCGTTTGTGCATGTAAGTCAGCACACACGTCAGCGCCTAGGTCTGCACACTGCGCACATACTGATGCTACATATGCACAGACCCCTCACTTACGATACACACGGCGTATAACTGGTGCCGGCATAGGTTGAGCGTGCCATAGACATGACAATTTGCACCAAGACTACTCTCTGCGCTTGCTTGCCCAGCGTAAGATCCATGATAGAAGTACCTGAACCGGTTGGCCAACGAATACAGTGAGAAAGCTCCCTGTCGGCTCGTCTGCTATTGCTTTAGCTGTCTGCCGCATAGGATCGCACACAGGGCTCGTGATCCTGCAGAATTTAAAGCAGTCGCCCGAACAGGGTCCATCCAAAAAGACCGACTTACGGCCATGAGCCGTGTCTCAGGCGCCAATGTTCTCGTCGATTTGGACTGCCACGCCAAGCTGAGCGATTTCGGTTGCTCGAAGCGTGACAATGACACGATGCCTCTCGGACTCCGATCTCCGAGACAGACGACAATCAGACTCGATGCAGCAGTGTTACAGCTAAGGTCGCACACCATGCGGGGTTCCATTCCCTGGATGGCGCCCGAGGCTCGCAGATCTACTCGAGGGTCGGTGCATTGCTCAACAGCACCAGCCCACGATCCGAGTTCGCAAGTCTCTCCCAAGATGACGATCTGAGTTATCGATTCAAGACTAGGAGTTCGATGTCAGGTCATAAAGAACACCGGCTACGGACGGAAGGCTGACATTTGGAGCTTTGGGTGCGCCTCAGGCCAAGTCTTGCTTTCTTGCTCATGCGCCGATATCGCACACCTTGCCCACCGGAGGAGCATTAGGCGATTCTCGCATTGAAATTCGTGAGAGCTTATACAGTACCCGATGTCAGATCCTTCAGCTGACGACTGTTGGTTCGTCAAGCATGGGCTGATATGGACAGACCTGAACACTCTGAACGAAGCGTAAGGTTGTGATTGAGATGGCCACGGCTAAGAGTCCCTGGGGCTCTTTCGACAATCCGATGGCTTCGACCTCATTCATTGGACATGTTCTCGTCTTTGCAGCTTTTCAGCCGACGACGCCTTGAGAAGCAGAAAAGCTGTATTTTTGTTTGCATCCTGCGCATCCTTCGTCTCTTCGTGTCGCCGTACGGGTCTTCGGGGAAGAGACATCTGGATGGGGGGTATAGTTCAAGGGAAGAGTGAATCTTGACAATGAGGCCGCCATGTGCAAAATCGCAATGTCGGACGCCACGTTTGCTTCTCAGATTGTCCTGGTGCCAGCACAGGGGAGGTCTTGATCTTGCAAGGCCTCCCATCCCAGAAGGAGTGTCGCCTGCATGTGGCCAGCTCAGACGGTTTCGGCTTTCTGACAGAGGTTCACTGCTGTCCCCTGTCCATTTCCAAGGCCAGGACTTCATCCGTCTCTGCACACGCAGAGATCCAGCCGACAGGCCGGGTGGTTTTTGCGCGGAGTGCTGCGTTCGCTCAGGCGCGCGTGTGCTCCCTTGTGCTTGGAACGCCAGGCCAGATGCCACCCGGCTCCTGGCGCACGACATCTTGAAAAACGTCATTGTCGAAGACGACTGATGGGCCAAAGGTTGTCCATCGTGTTCGGACTGTGTCCTGTTGTTGCTAAGGCTTCCATGCTACGTCAGTACGTCAGTTTCGTTCGACGAAAGAGCAAGCGCTAACAGGGCATCGTTTGTCTCACAGCGTGGACCATCCTGCAGAGTCAGGACTAAGACCGGCCACGGAAGGAGCATCCAAAATTAGCGCAAAGATCTCTTGCAGCTAAGGCCGTCAGAAGGGTTTCCGTCTGATCTGGACCAAACTAAATGCACGTGCGAGCCGCTAGCTTTCGTGCGCATCGTCGTTCAGTCTTGTGGTGTTTCACATCGATTCGATTCGAGATGCCACCAACTGTACACACACCCACGCTTATACGTAGATACGACGGGTATGAAACTGCACGACACCGTGGTAGGCTGCCCTGAATGTCTGCCTGAAGCTAGTCGTTTGACATGAGCGGGGGAAGGGCAGGAGGCATGGGGGCAGGGAGGGCAGGCCAGCAGGAACAAAGCAAAAGGAAAAACTCGCACAAGACCCGCCCAAAACTGCGGACCTGAACCCTATACAACTTCTATAAACCCTAAACCCTCAAGGCAGGATAAATAGAAATTGTATAGTCCAGCCCCCTCCGGACAGCAATAAACAGGGCAGGGCCCAGAGCGGCAGTAGAAGGGCAGCGCCTCGTCCATCTTCACTGGCTCGCCCTTGAGTTGCAGCTTTCCTTGGACTTTGTTCTCCTTCCAGTGTCCCAAGGTCGGGTAGCCCCAGAACTCCTGTCGGTCTCTTCGTCCTTGGTGCAGATGACGTCGCCCTTCGCGATGGCCTGCATCGAATAAAAAGAAGCTGACACTTTGAAATTCTTAGTTTTCTACTACACTGCGCATGCTTTGAAACAATCCTCTCGACCCTCAGTCCCCAAAAAAGCATACAAGATATTGAGCCTCCCCCAAAGCTTTCCCAACAGCAATTTGGCACAGCTTCGCATCATCACCAGCACAAGAGCAGGAGGATTCCCGCACCCCTTGCATGCAATCGCCCCCTGGTCTCAAAGCCTGCGCAGACGCAGCTTCTCTCTCTCCCTCTTTCGTCTTCTATTCTTCTCTTCTTCCTCTGGGTGTATAGGGGACTGTCCCCTCGCCTCCAGGGCCCCTCATACTTTCTGGAGCTTCGGGGAAGGACGTGAAATGACATATTGAGACGAGATCCCCCGAAGCAAAGGATAATAGATGATGTACAGTTCCGAAGGCTGACACATGCATGCTGCAGACTGGCTCCCCCGTTGAGTGCAATGTCTATAAGGTACAGCCAAAGGAGGATAACAACACACCCTATCATGCCCCGACGTGGTTTGGAACTGCCTTGACAACCATCTGTAGTGACTAGACATGCCCCGTAGCTGGCCACAACAGAAGACACAAACGATTCTTCTCTCTGCCTCTCTCTCTCTGTCTCTCTCTGTGTTTGTACATGCGTGTGTGCATTGCTCTTTCCTTTCTTCCTGTCGCCTTGAACTTGGGCCTGGCTCACCTCTCAAGGAAGTCTGTAGGTCCTCGAGACAACTGCGTAGCCGGCCAAGTAGTTACACTCCTCTGCGCATCCCGGAGCGCCGGCAGCGTCACACTGCTGCTACGGCAACAAGTCAGCAGGACCCACCCCCCGGCGCGGGTTACACAGTCTTTAGACCCTGCGGAACTTGCTGCGGTGAAAAGGACCGAGCGATCGAAACCCCACCCCGGAGTCAGCAACAGCGAGGAGGCGAGCAATCATGAAGGGCGAGACGCTGCACGAGCTGTTTTGGGGAGGAGCCGCACAGCTTTGTCCTGCCAGGAAAGAGAGAAGCTGTTGCTCGCCGCTGCGCATCAGCAAGAACTTTGTCATATGCTGTGCAGGCCTCTTCTGCCCCATCCCATGTAGCGGTCCCGCGCGTGAATTGCTGCAGGTCGCTTCAGCAATGTCAGGGATGCATCAGCACTGATGGTGCGAGCCAGGCACCGCACGGATTTATGTGATGGGACGAAGTGGATGATGCGAAGTGTGCTGAGGAGTTGAAAGATTTCGCCAAAAGGTTCATCACAGAGGGCAGGCACCGTGTGCTTTTTGAAGTTTAACCCGAACGTAACTTTTGTGCTGTGGTGTGCGGACCAGGTATGCTTCTTTGCTGTCCGTGGACACAGCGCCGCAAAAGCTCTGGGCGCTGGGGTTGGACTATACAATTTCTATCTATCCTGCCTTGAGGGTTTAGGGTTTAGGGTTTATAGAAATTGTATGGGGTTCAGGTCCGCAGTTTTGGGCGGGTTTTGAGCGAAATTGGCGGGGTTTTGGGCGGGCTTTGTGCGAGTTTTTCGTTGTGCTTTCCTGGTAGCCTGCCCAGCCTCCCTCCCCTGCCCTGCCCTGCCCTTACCCTGCCGCTCTGGGCCCTGCCCTGTTTATTGACAACCGTTACCATCATCAAGACGTTCGCGAAGTCTCGTATTTTGGTTTGTAAGCGGTAGAAGGGTCTTGTGACAGAGGAGCTCTCACACTTCAAATACAAACCGAGACGGCTCTCGCTCATAATTTGTTTAGTCGCTGAAATTGTTTAGTCGTTGAAAGCGTTTTCCCTGCGAGAAAGACAGGGATGCTGACTTCTTAAGTTTGTAGGGACACTTCTCACTGGATACGGACGATTTCCAACTTTTCATTCAACGAAGTGGCAGTTCTGTCACGTTGTCACCTTGAAAAATGTGCCGGCAAGACGAGTTGCGCAGATTTGTTTCTTACAGTTCACAGGTGTGAATACAGACACAGATCGCCGGAGATGGCAGCAAGTCCAGAATTCTTGTGCCGCGGTGCTTCCGCCTGGCACACTTGAGTCTTGTTCCAGTGTGCGACCGAAAAGCACATGCAAGTCCAGATCAACTGTATTGAGTTTGATGCCTTGATGGGCTGGTGGGACCTTAGGCCTTAGGCTATCCCGCCTGCGGCTGCAGGTGCTTTGTCAAGGGAGATAGTGTCAGTGCGAAACTGTCATATTCATTACCGCTGCTTTCTAGTTCTTCCAGGCACGTTCTGGCACTGCTGGTTTTCGTCACTGCCAGTGTCATTGCCACATTTCCACCGTTCTTACCATGACAAGTTGTCTATGTTAGATTACTGTGGTCACTATATTGAGGGACCGAGGGCTTTGCTGGCTGTCACTGGCGGCACTGCTGCGGTTGTGCTACCAGCATAATTTGGCCTAGTAGCCATACTGCACTGGAAACGGTGGCAAGCCGAACGGGAGGCTTGCGTGAACTTGCAAAGTTTTGTAAACAGGCCAGGGCTATGAGCACGAGAACGGTACGATGGACCATTCTCGTTTTTACATCCACGAAATGAGCTTTGGACCTATGCCGACCAGCAGGAAGACCAAAACTAGTTAAGTTAATTTGCTCCCATTTCAGATATAGCGATTCATTGACATGGCTCTGCACTATACAATGATATGTGAGTTTGCCTCAGGACTAAGAACAGCAGGAGTACATCCTTGCTGTGTCCGAGCACCAACCAACCTCACGCCATCTGCCATACCGCAGGGCAGGTACAGACACCCACAATCAGCTAGCACTTCGCTGACTTCCCTGCTGTAGCAATCCCAGCAGAGCCCGACGACCTGCCTGTGGCACCTTGTGGCTGGAATCATAGTATCACAGACAGTTCACCAGGAAGTGAGCGTGCCAAGGCATTTTTATCACTGTGCCAGACACTCAACCGAGAGCTTGAACATTCGATGTTTCACCAGCAAAGCTTCAACAAACTACAACCCTGGACTTCCTCTAGATCTGTGCCATGGGATGCTCGCGGCCGTTGCTACAGGTGCCGGCCGCATCGGGGCGTTGTTGCCTTTTCGGTTGCGGGCCGTTTGTGAAGGGCTTCGACAGAATCCGACATGGCGGACCTGGAGGCCAGGATGTCTCTGTCGCTTCGTGCACGGCGCTAGCCGAAGCCGCCCCTTCATGGAGATTCCTGCAATTTTATGTTCGAGCCAACGGTCAGATTACCGGACTCTTGCGAGCATGCCGTGCATTGTCGAGCCTTTTGTCAGAGGACATCGACAACTTGGACGGCTCGCCTAAGGCAGAGTACGTGGCCTGGGCCTCTGGGACCGGATCCGGGTAGTTTTTGACTGAGTGGTTGAAATGCGACACCCGAGGACATGGCTGCCAGACACTCCTGGCAAGACCTGGAACTGAGTTATGTCAAGAGCACCATCCTTAGACCTTAGCGAGAAGTAGCTTCGTGACTTGCACTCTGAACAAGAATCTCTTTCCCTAGATCCGGCTGCCCCTTCCAATGGGAACTCGGTGAGGCCTGGTTGTGAAGACAGACCGTTCGTGCCGAGTGCATGCGTCTTCACAGCATGATGGCATGGTGCGGATCTGCCTTTGCTGCAGGGTTCCGCTGGTGGACTCGCAGCCACAGGAGGCTGCCTGGAGCATCACACCTTGCGGCTTAGCTGTGCAGCTTTCAACAATAAGCAGCTTGAAGTAAAGAGCCGCAGCAGGAGGTCATCGACCTCAGCCACACATGCTACAACCTGATCTTCGTCAGCGGGAGGCATCACTTTCCTTCGGCCATCCACACCCGCTGTCCAATCCTTACGCCTATTTTGCTTGGCCATTTCACGCGGCAACCCACTTCCACAACCCTCTTTTCTGAAGAAGGAGCTAGTGGCTACTGGCAGCATGTTTTGGTTCTACGCTTCTAAACAAAGAGTTCTGCTGCAGCCGCCCGAGCCCTTGATCGGGGATCTTGTCAGTGCTTTGAGTTTGGAGATTTTGCGCAAACTTACGCGATCAGAAGCGGCAGAAACATGGTCAGACTTCACCCACATTAGTGTCCTATGGATCGACATCACTCCGCAAACCTGCTCTCGCAAGTCTTGTAACGTGTGCTGGTCCTTACTTCGCGCCGCTTGGGGTCATGTCAGCAAGCAGACTGCGGTCAGCCAGGGCAAGTGTGCTTGCTCCCATGCTCGCAGTCGCTGCTGCTTGGCCGAAGATGGTGTAGAAGCAGCTTTCGTCAGCGTTGTTGCAGTCTTCGTCGGTCAGGATGTCAAATTCTATCCCTTGCATATTTTAAGACTTAGGTTGGGCAATTCGGCATGCTTTGGATCGTGGGCTGGACATCTCCCGAGTGCCCTGGAAGTGCATGGGCAGTCTCGCATTCTGCGAGGCGTCCCCTCCTGCAGTTGGATCCAAGTGGCCAGGGCAAACAAGATGTGCGAGTACCGCCGCAGGTACTTCTTCGAGAGTGGCCAGTGGGTAGTTCCGATATCGGACTACTGGCCTCACACTGAGCTCAGACATCGGGCACCAGCTCGAAAGTGAGCGGAACTGTCCCAGATCCTAGGTCCTGTATGCCTCACAAAGATGTTGTGTGTGCGAGAACGTGTTGGCACGTCGCTGCCCGTGTCTGTTCTACCCCAGGTCTGTGAATGCGATGAAGTGCCTGCGCCGGCCTCGTGATGATGTGGACGGGCTGTGGAAGGTTGCAGCGTGATATCGAAGCATGAAAAGCAGACACCGAACCCCATGTGTTCTGGGTGCGAAGCTCTTGCAGTTCCCTGGCAACAAGTGACCAGATCATGAGGAATCATGCGTTGAGGTCCATGCTCCTGACCCTCTTCAGAGTCAGTGGGGAGTTTAAGGCCTGGCCAGTCTCTGACGAAATAGCTGCTCATTAAAATTGTGTGGCAAAGCTCAAGGGTGTCGCAGAACTTCCCCGGTCTGTCATCACATAGGAACTCGTACAGCTGTGAAGTATCTGACACACATTGTGCATACACCTCCGCGGTACATGTACATGCACAAGATATACACATCTGAGCATAGGCGCCTCATAGAATTTGCCTCCGACTTACCTGCACATACATTGCTCGTCATGTGTAGCTCTTTTGGGTGCAAATGCCTTTGCATGGTTGGGTTTGGCGCAGTCTTGCTTTAATTTGAAGTTGTCCAGCCCCAAGTACTCTGCGTGCGGCAGGATGCTGCCAAGCTGTACCGCGTTCTCGCACACCGGCCAGCTGCCCCCAGCTAAGTCACCGAGTCACAATGGCATTGTGCAGCTTCAGTACAGCTGTAAGGAAACATCTCATACCGCATGATCTCGTAAGTCGACTTTGTCTGTTAGTCGTAATCCTCCTGCCTGGGCTGCTCCATCTTACCATGTCCAACTTCCTGCTTCAGGTCCAAATGACCATGCAGCAGCGATTCCTGGGCTTTGGTGCATTCATCCTGCAATACCTCGTGGCTGTGGTGCGCAGGGTCTGTCGCAGCGGCGTTGTGGCATTTACGTCGTCTCTTGCTCTGTACTGCCTGTTGCCTTGAAGCTTGGTGCTTGCTGGGTAAAGTTCAGCTGTGGCAATTGACTTGAGCGGCATGCTCTGACATGTGGCATTTTTGGATGGTCCTTTCCTGGCTCATGGCACAGGTCGTGCTGCTGATGGCAATTCAACTCATTCTGGCTAGCACGTCTGCACCTGAGAGACAGCGAATGACTTTTTTGAGGTTGGGCAGGTCCTGTTTATAGGGATTGTGTCCCTGCAGAGCGTTCGGATTGACCTGGGCTCCCAGAGTGAGCTCCTGCAACTCTGCATCGCAAGCTGCCTTGGTTCCAGTCGCTCCGAAAAGATGAGAAACCCAACCATGCAGGACGCCCATTGCCACCATCGGCAAATTGCCCCGAGCCAAGAGCATGGGAACCATGAGCAGTGCCCTTCGCTCGCGCTGGTCATTGCGGCGCAATGCCTTGAGGTGGGTTGTTTTCACTACACTGGATTTCGACAATTACCTTTGCAACTTCATCCTCTTCATCTTTGACTGCGAGCACGCTTTCACTTGGGAGGCCAGGGGGCGAGAAGCCGAAAGCAAGTTCCCGACTCTGAGCGCTGCCAAAGCATGGCTGCAGGCAAGGCTCCAGCGCCGGTCGGCGCGACGGCTGGGCGGCGAACCCCTCAGGCACCGCCAAGGGCAGACCGGGCGTTCGGGGTTTCGCGGAGACTTTGCAGGACCTGGCTCCTGATCTACTGGGCTCCCGTCGGCGTAGCACTCGCTTGCGCCACTCGCATCAGAGCATATCAGAGCTTCCCGAATCGCGTTGCCAATTCCATAGAGCGGTGCTTGAGGGTGCAGGGATGCGAGAGGCATTCTGGGTCGGCGTAGTATGCCATGCTCGTCGGAGACGTTTGGGGGCTGCAGTGCACTCTAGCCAGGGCATTGGCAACAGGGAGAGTGGGAAGTCCCAGTAATCACCAGCCGTTCCTGGCAGTATCATCGTGAGTAAGCCAATGCATTGTGCAGAAACCTCAAGTCACTGGTTCTTGCTAGGCAATGCCTTCGCACCCGCGGTCACAACGGCATGAAATCTGCGTGCTTGATCAGAAAAGTGTCTCCGAGGTCTGTGTGTCGGTTTACTTCAACATTTGCCCCCTGACGGCCGTGCATTACGGAGCTGTCAGGCGCGATTCAACTCGGCACAGGTTAGCATCTGGATCACAATGAAGCTTTTAGACGGACATGCATGACGGGTAGATGCATGCATGATGCAGCTTCCTTCAACTTCGACAGAGTACCGCCTGACAGGAATCAGGAGCCTGTGCTGATGCTCACCTCGAACATGGGCCTCCCTCAGAGCTGCTGCGCCCCTCAGGTGCAGAATGCGAGACAAGCGAGATCGTAGCGGAGTTGTTAAAGAAACGCGGTTTGCGCAGGTGATTGTTCCGGAGTCAGATTCCCTGGCACTGGACCAGTCTGCTGGAGTGCAGGTTAGTCGCGCCCTCGGCTCCCACGCTCCAGCAGCGTGCTGAATGCACTAGCTTTGTGCGAAGGTGTGCCCTGCGTGAGTCCGGGCGAAGTTGGAACAGGTGGCCAAATCACGGGCACATGGCTTGTTGACGCTGTTTTACGTGGTGCCCCACTAGTTTCTGCTTAGAACATCAATGACCACGGTGCATGCTTCGTACTTCGCTCGACCAGGCAGCCGCCGGCCACCTCGACTCTACTACGCTGGGAACTCGACATCGGCATGAGCACTTTCCGTGTGCAGCAGCACCTGCATCCTGCGTTCATGGCCAGAGGGCCACTCAGTCCGGAAGAGTTGCGAGATGCATGGCGAACCAGCCTGTTCGAAGGCAGCATCTGCGAGTGGTTTTTCTCAAATCCGCACGGGAAGTTCAGCTAACCGCGGAAAGTTTGGTTGTTCCGTTCAGCGTGTTAGAATCATGCCGCTCCCGGCCCTTACAGTATCATGAAGCAGCTTGGAAGGCCTGGAAACTTGCTGGAAGTTGGAAGTGAGTTCATGCACAAAATGCTTGCAGGAAATAACAGACTTCGTACCCAAAATCCGCCAGATTTGCGCCGAGGTAGTCGTTCCGGATGGGCGCCCGAGTCCTTCCAGCCTCCAGGCCCTTTCTGGTGACTGACGGAGGTTTGATGGCATGACTTGCTTCTCCGCAACACACAAGGAAAAAAAAACAACTCCATTTCTGATGCACTTTTTGCTGCTGGGTATTGTGGGATATCTTTGCATGCCGATGAACCAGAAGCACAGGGAAGGTCTTTGCGGTGTGAGGTACTGTGTTGACTGCCGTCCCCACACATGTTAAGGAGGAGACTCTATGTTACACAGCCTCAGAATGTTGGTTAGATTCTGCTGGACCCGCAGAACGATGACCCACATGTCCATACAGGGCATCTGCCAAATTCTTGCAGGTCATGGAAGGCCGTGGTGGTGATGGAAACCGTGGGCTTCGGTACGGTGCGAGCCGGCAAGGGGGGGCAGCAGACATGTCAAACGGGAAAGATCCGTTGAGTGCACGGGATTGCGCGACGGCTGATACATAGCAGGTGGGCTGGGTTTTTTTTCCGCCCCG